ACGTACCCCTCACAGGAGACTTTGTGCATTTTTAGATTTTCAATACACTCCATTCTGTGTGATTTATAAGTGTTTTGAAAAGTGGGGACATGGGGTAATGTCCTGAAAAGTCACCTTCTCCTTGTAATACCTATATCATACCTTTGTCATTACACAAATGTATGTCCTCATTTGTCACAAAAACGCGCGCACACCCACACATGTTGGTTTTTATGGTTTATGAGGACTCTCCATAGGCGAAATGGTTTTTATACTGTTCAAACCGTATTTTCTATTGCCCTACACCAACCCTACCCCTAAACCTACCCCTCACAGGAAACTTTCTGCATTTTTACACTCAAAATGTCCTCATAAATCAGCTTCTTGTTGTAATACCTATGTCATACCCATGTCATTATACAAATTTGTGTCCTCATAAACCACATAAACATGCACACACACACACACACACATATATATATATATATATATATATATATACAAACAACAGTTCTTTCTGGTCCTCAAATCTGTTTGGCTAATAAGAGTGCGATATTAGAGTCCAACAGAACTCCTCGAGCCGTTTCACCGTTTGTAATTGTATCACTCCGCTTGCGGTACTTCTCACAGTGAGTGTCATGGTGAACCCTCAAATCCACTATAATTTAAAAAAAATACTGTTTTGTGTCATGGAATGTAGTTTTAAGAGCTTTTTAGAAGATAATGTACTTGTCTGGACTTCAAATATGCGGTTTGTTAATAAACATAACGTCTATTTGAAAATTTGCATCAACGTTTTCAGAGATGTGAGCTCCAGGGCGTCAGTGGCCATTCAGCGTTCATGAAGCCGCCCGAGAGCGCCTCACCTCGGCCAGATCTTCTGGAATTTAAAACAGTTCTTTTTTTACAGTCTATGGTTTACATCATGTTGAGAAGACGCTGTGTTCAACGATACCACAGCAATACAGTTCGAACCTTTTGTTGATGTGCTTGTCATTTTACCGAGGACTGCTTCTCTAATCTTGGCTTTTAACTTCGTTGGCTTCTAATCTTCTTTATTTGGACTAACAAGCGTCTCCGAGACATAGCCTGTAACTACGATTTATACGTTATGTGTACATTCTCAATTGAGTGCTCAAAATATCAAGTTTTTTGTGCTAATATGTGATGTATACCTAGTGCAGCTTTACTGAAATAGTTCTGATAATTCGTTCTAATTACTTCCCCGTTCAGCTATTGGACTGATTTCACATACGATTCAGAGCGTGGATCGCGGAAGGCGTTCCCCTAGCGTTTGTCGACGCAGCGTCTCGTTCCCTCGAGGAACTAGGGTTACATACGTAACCTGAGACGTTTTCCCCTACTTGACATAGCAAATAAAACAGTATCCTTCCTTGAAATATAATTTATTTTTCTGTGTGTCATTTAATTTCACATTTAAAACAAAACAGTCTCAAGCTCAGCGGACAGAGAAAAGAATCAGGGAGGAGTTTAAGAAACTCCAGCAGTTCCTCAAAAAGGAGGAGGAGAGCAGGATAGCGGCTCTAAATGAAGAAGAGAAAGAAAAGAGCGGTCAGATGATAAAGAAAATGGACGTGCTCTCAGACAGAGTCCGAGAAGTGGAGGAGCGAATGAAGGATGATGATGTCACCTTCCATCAGGTTGGGAGAGCAATACAATTCACACACTCGCACGTTTTGTTATTTTCTGACAGTCACTAATCTAGTTGTCACAATGTGAATCCCCACAGAATTATAACGGCATTATGAACAGGTATTTTGTTTGTTTTCTAGAAGATAATATAGGAATATATAAAACAATATAATACATTTAACATTTGAAATCCATTACTCTAATGTGTGTGTGTGTGTGTGTGTGTGTGTGTGTTTAGAGCTAGATACACACTTCCAGATTCAGAACTGAGTCTAGAAGCTCTTATTGATGTCTCTAAACATATGGGCAACTTGAAGTACCAAGTCTGGGAGAAGATGAAGGACATCTGCCCTTACTGTGAGTACTAGATGCCTTTGATCTTACAGTAACAAGCATTTGCAAGGGGGAAAACTGTAGATCCCACCAGTTGATTAATCACAGTATGACAGACTTGCATATTACAAGTTTTCAAATGTTATTTTTAAATATGCAAATGAGGCACTATCTAACTGAACAGGGGTGTCCAATCCTGCTCTTGAAGGGCCAGCAGAATTAAGATCTACAAAAGCAAATAGATAAAAATAAGCCTATAGTGTGTATTTTGTTTGTTTTTCTACTAATCTGAAAGAAGACATGATATGGAAGAAAAAAAAATACAAAATTTGACCTGTGCATAAGAGTCTTTCCTTAAACTGACTTAAGCTGATATTTTCCAGACCCTGTGATCCTGAACCCAAACACAGCTTCATCAGACGTCTCCATGTCAAACGACCTGACCTCTGTGACCTCATGTGTTAATCGGCAGGACGAGCCCAACCCTATTCCTCTGCACAGGAGCCGTATGGTGCTGGGGAGCGTGGGATATGGTAGTGGCGTTCATACGTGGGACATTGAGGTGGGAAAAAGTCGCCACTGGAGCCTTGGAGTGTGCTTTGGATCAGTGGACAGGTCTATAGTGCACATTTTGAACCCTGCAAAACCCCTGCTCCTGGGGTCTCAGGCGCGATGGAGATCTGTATAGTTTCCTAAACACTCAGATACACTTTGGGATGACGGAACATCCCCAGGTAGTGCGCATAAAGCTAGAGGATTGTTATGACAAGAAGAGAGTATGGTGGAGGAATGTAAGCTATTTTAATGCTGATTGTAATTGCCTTTTAGCAACAACTTCTCAACTGCCGTCAGGGATGGAGCTCTTTCCATTTGTGATCCCAGAAAAGCGCTCTGGCCCACTGCGTGTCGTCCCAGCTAAAGTTACTTTCAAAATTGAGCAAGTTGAAGAGGATAGATCTTTCCTGGAGAGACACAGAGTCTCCTTATTGATCCTGTTAGTAGTGTTATTGTTTCTGGTGCTGTGTGCTTTTGCATATCGCCTGATTTACTAAAATCAGTTTGTGACTCGTCATCACTTTTAGCATTACTCAGTAGTAGCCAGGTAATCGTAACAGAAGCTACTAAAAGGCTGTTTATATCTTCACACAGTTATGTTAATATTTGTGTAAAAACATTTGAAAACCTACTAGAATAAGTTTCCTTTAGTGATAAATGTGCTAGTAAAGACACTTGTCTATATGAAGAGCTTTCAGTTTAGTCTATATTTAATCTATATTACCCAAATTGTCAAGAAACACTCTGATTCTTAAGTATTCACCTGCAGTTTAAGTGTCAAATGTTTATAAAATATTGTCAAGTTAAGTGCTATTTTTGTCTGCTTCATCTATTAAACCATCACCATTGACGGTATATGTTGTCATGATACCAAAATTATGACTTCAGTATGATACCTGACATAAATGTAAAGTAAACCAATACCACAACAAAAACCTAAAACAACTGCAAAAGTAGTTGAATCATAGATGACCCAATCTGTAAGTTTTTTTTTCATTCTTTCATTCATTCATTAGTAAATAAATAAATAAATAAATGTCAGTGCCACCACATGGCAAGCAAATATCGGTCAATGAGACATTGACAATGAGATATATTTGCAACATTTGTAAGTTATCTAAAAGGATAAATTATAATCACAATAGGCTATAGTTATTTTTATTTTATAAAAAAAAAGGACAAAGATGCAAACTGCAAATAAAATAATAAATAGTCAAATAAAGCTCTCCATAGTCTTCAGTGTATGAACTAAATACATTGTTATTTAGTCAAGAGCAGTGAGTGATTTTCTTTCTGTCTTTTGTGATTTCATTAATGAGCTAGACAGCAGCAGGTTTATTAGGCTGATGCCACTTTAAGACCTAACTATGAAATCATTATAATCATTATTTATAACTTTTGATTAATAATTATTTATATAATAGGCCATTTGTTTACATTTGCATGTAGCGTAATTGTAGGCTATTGTGAAATTGGAAATGTGTTTTCTTGCTTATGAAATACATTTTAAATAACTTTTGGTATATGATGGTCGAAGAGAAATATATTTGATCAATTTCAAAAATATTTTTATTCGAGCATCACTGTTTACATAGGCATACAAAGATATTTAAGATATATTTTAGCTAGATTTTATAATTTTTTTTTAATGGGATGATTTGCACATTATTGTATTAAATGCCATAGTCGTTTTCTCTTTTTTTTCTGGTGTAACTAGCTACTTGAAGGAAATAATCTCAATCAATTTTGTTACAATGTGTAAAAGAAAATAGTCATAATGTCTTAACATTATTATTTTTTATTTATTTAAAATATAAACATAATCTATATATAATCATATTTTCATAATAAAACATCTTTCAACAGGAATATGATAACTTTTTGTTTATTTATCAAATATTTATATTTTATGCACAATATATTTTAGTGTGTTTGAAGGTGCCTTTAGGGGTTATTCATAAGTGTTTCATATAAATGTCATAATACTGATAAATAAAATGGTGTGTGTGTTAAGACCATACGAGTGAGTGTCTCTGATTCATTTCTAAATATTTACAACTAATAGAGCGTAGTATAGCGGCATATTTGATGTTTGATGAAATTGAGGCTGTGAAGGACAGAAGTACAGTGCATGCAATGGATCGTATACTGTTGATTAACAATATACCGATTGTTCACCTGCTGAAAAAACATCTTTCCATAAAAAACAAAAAAATCCATAAAACAGTTTTGAAAGTTGTGAATATTACATGATAAGACCCTCATATAGTGCGTGCCATTGTAAAGACTGTAAGTCTATCCCTCACAGCCTCGTGTTCATTCGTGTTAAATTCAGTGTGGCATCTAACCTGACTATGATCTATGGCAGATGAAATTCAAAGCAAGTCAAAAAATAAATAAATCTTGCTAAACCCTCTACTGTACAAACCCAGATGCAGAAGCAAGAGTAGGAGCCAAGAGACAAAGGCATGGTAGCCAATTAGAAAAGCTTTATTGATTAACATGCACTTTTATCAAAGGTATCAGCTGAAAACAAACCAGCTCATGGAGAAATCAGTCACTATTTTGGATGGAGGCGACTTCTTAGCAATTAAATGGTTAATATTGTAATGTGGCGATAGCAAAGCATAAGAAAAAAGTAAAATTAATGTATATAAATGTTAATTGCATGGATTATGTTGTGTATGTTTAGAATGCATTTTTATAGATGTTGAGTTGGCGATGGCCATCTCTTACTCTATTTAAAATGAGTTTAATCTGCACATCATTAGAGTCCAGGGAACAGGTAGAATTTCCTCACAAGGGACATCCTTTCAATACAAGGCAATAGTTTCTCTTCTTCTGTGAAACGTGGGTCATTCTCCATGCGTGAGGCAACCTATAACAAATATATTTGAGTGTGAAGCAAACTCTTTCATTTTAACTGAGTGATGTACTCGGAGTGAAAATATACTGGAAGAAATTTTGACTTTTGTCTGAAATAAAGTAAACCAGCTGAAATGGGATTTTCTTCATTTACCTTCCTGAACAACTCCATGATGTCATCATTATGAGCGCATGTACTGAACACATCCACGATGTACATGATTAAATAACTCCCATTGTCAGGATCCCTGTACGATACAGTATCTGTGGAGATAATTCATCAAGTTATACAATAACGTTAACGACCTTTGAAACTTTGCTCATTATGTAAGAAATATTGGACAACATTTTTGTGTTTGCTAATGACGTTTCATCACACATCTGAGTGGTTTAATCATTTTGCCAATAAGGCAGTTTCTTCTTCAAAGTGTGAATCAACCTTATGCCAACACTTTTAAGAAAAGAAAAACAAAGTTGTTTAAATTGTTTCTACTGGAGCTTATGGCCAAACTGAACAGGTATGAGCTACAAATCTCCTTTCATCAGTCAGTGTTTTTGAGGACTCACCAGGGAGGCTGGACATAAAGCAGACAAAGTCTTTCTCCTTGTGAACCCAGGCGTCTGATGCAGGCACTCGATCAGGAACATACACACCTCCATCGTCACCTGGACAGAGAAATTATTCACAATATGGAAGACAATCTTACTGTAAACACAGAAATGCTGAGTACAAACATAATTCAAAATAACAATACGATAATCATGTTGTACCTCCTCTGCAGGCCTGAATGAGAATAACCTTTGGTTTATCAATCAGAGCCGGACAATTGACTGAGTTCAGATGGGTGAAGATGTCCTCAACAAAGAAGTAATCATCGGGGTGTAGATCTGGATCATAATGGACACCTAAAATGGCATCTTTATTTTGGATTCTTTCCCCATGAGACATGATGACCACAAAGGTGCTGTCTGCGTCTCGATGTTCATAACGTTTAGAGAAGTTCTTGACTTTTCCATCTATTTCCTGTGAATAAATAAACGATTTCTTACAAGAAATGCATGCTATAAAATGCATAGTATGTGTTCACATTTTGGTTTCCATACTAGAAATCTATGAGCTCTACTAGACAAAAGTGCTTTTTGTGAAGTCAGACTTTTGTTTTACGCACGTTTCCAGAGAGATTTGTGTGTTTCTCAACACTGTAACCCAGAGCGCTCAGCAGCCACTCCATGTTCTCCTCATCTTTCTCTGCGCCATCCCTGCAGTCCTCTTTACTGTCAAATTTAATGTTGGTGATCAGCAGAGCTGAGCCTTTCCTCTGAGACCTGCTCGTTGGCATATAAACCTATGAAAAAACATCAGAATTATGCAGAATTAAAACACATGCAACTACAGTTGACCACCCTACTGCAGATAAAATGCTGTGAAATCACTTGATTTTGCACATATCTCTTTTTTTCCTCATATACGCACTCCTGTTCAAAAGTTCGGTGTTAGTAAGATTATGTAATGTCTATGAAAGTGTCTTTTAAAACAGTTGTGCTGCCCAATATTGTTTTGGAAACCATGATACATTTTATTTTTCATGAATCCCAGGTGAATAGAAAGTTAAAGGAACAGCTTTTATTTGGAATAGAAATATTTTGTAACATTACAAATATCTTTACTGTCATTTTTGTTTAGTTTAATGCATACTTGCTAAATAAAACAATAATTTCCCTTTGTTTTGTTTTTTTAAACTAACTTTTGAACGGTAGTGTATTTATGTTTCTCATTTCTTTCTGTTTAGAGTTGTCCTTTTTTGAATCAGAATTAGAAGGAACTTTGGGAACAGAGGCAGAAAACACTGATCAACATAAACTATCATTTGCAACATGTTCCATAAAGAAAAAAAAAAGTTTAACAATGATTAACGTGCAGGAGTGTCAAGGTCAAAAGTCAAAGTTATTATTAGCTCTGCAGGAAAGTGACCGACCAAAAGCATGAATAATGATTTCTGAATGTAGTATTTTCACACAAGTTCATGGAAACAGAGATACTTGCATCATTTCCCTTTTCTCTGAGAAGTCTCTGTTTAAACTGTTGGCTGCATGCAGTAATGTTGTATGCTCTGAGCCAGTCGGACTGGATGGGCTGCATAGACTCTGGAGCATTTCTTGCTTCCTCCTGCACAGACTGCTGAACTGAAGCCCGGAAAACACACATCACACATCATGTCCAGCATTCAGTACATTTCAAGATGACAGCCCATAGAAAAAAGAACATTCTTACATCTGATGTTTGATATGCCATCTTGCAACATAGTCTGCAACTACGATCAATTACAAATAAAGTCTACAATTTAGATGTTTTTCAGTCCAATTCTACACTCTTAAGATTTTTAAAAGCCACTTTAAAAGGTTCTACTCCCAGTGAAAGCATCTCCACCATCCTTATTTTCAGGTACTGACCAGTTCACACATCTTCATTTTAATACTGTATACCATATGTAGAAAGATGTGAAAGTAAAGTATAACTTTAGTGGTTACCAGATATATTTCACTAAATCTTGACACATAGGACACAACATGCCTCACAACAACCTTCCATTAGTTTTCTGGAGGTTTGTTTTAAACTAAATTTGACCCTTTTCATGTATACGTCTCTTAATTTTTCTAAATGATGGCTGTATTTTGTTATATTCTTTAGGGTACTACACTTATGTTAAACCTTAAATCAGTATAGATTGTTTTTCTTTACCTTTCTGAAAATTTAACTCAAGGCGATGTGCAAGTTCATTTTGTTCCATGTTGCGTAGCACTTGGACTGCGATTTTCCCAGCATCAGCACTGTACTTCTGTACCATGAGATCCACCACACCATGGCACTTAATTTTCTCAAGTTTTCCTCGAGAAATAGGACTGATGTCTTTTATTACACCATTCCACAAGTGCCATTTGAATTGATTGAACTCTTCTTCCTCAAGTTGCTCAAGTGCTTTAAACACACTTTTTTTAGTGATGTCCATTTTGTGTCACTATAGGAGAAAAAGGACAAAACAGTCTTTACTGATCTGGGAGCATCAGACATTGTGTTCTTAGATCAGTTCACATAACAAGCAACACAATTCATAACATTCCCTGGTGTGGTTAAATCACTTAACAAATGTGTTACATGCAATAAATAAATACATTTAAAAAATAATAAAATGCAATGACTTTAACCTTTAATATAAATTTAAATGCCAATTGTTTTAGAGATGTATTACATGCAATAACAATATTTAGGCTAAACATACTTAATGGTGAACATCAAAACACGATTGTGTGTGTGTGTGTGTGTGTGTCAATTCTCATTGAAGAAAAACATTGATTTTAGTGTCATGTATGATGTGGCAGCCTGGTCTCGTGTTTATACGTAGGTATTAATACGTAACATTTACAAGCACAAAACGTACACTTTTGTATGTTTTTAGTCATGCTAAAACGTACAATTTAGACGTATTTCAACGTTTAAAACGTACAAATCGCTACGTATTTTTAGCAAAAAAACGTACAAATATTAACGTATCTTTTATATCATCAAGATATTCGTATCAATGCATTTTTATCATTTTATCAATAAGCGATTTAGATTTTTAGACCCCTTAACCTACCCCCAAACCTAAACCTACCTATATAGCGAATGACCGAAATATTCAGGAAAATAACCATTTTAGTAACAATATAGCATTAAAATATTTTTATAGTCGCTAATCCCACTCCTACCTATAAGCCTAAACATTTCTGGACAGTATAAGAAACATAACAGACAGATAAATGCAATTAACGTTACAATCATTTATTTATTGCAAAAATATCAAAAGCAGCACTAAAAGTAATCCAAATGACGATACGTTGCACCCGCAGTCCTCTC